ATAATTTAATTTAATACAATCGAGCACAAAATACATTTTTTTTCCAACTAGACTACATTTTTGCAGATTCAGTCATTCTCAGCATTTTTTTAGATCAGCAAACTGCATGTTAATGAGTTTCAATATTGCACTGTCCTCTGTTTTAAGTAACTGTCATCAACTTCAGCCTACATTTTCCAGAACTTTTACATCCCAACTCATAATTGTTTAGCAAGTCCATATTTATGGAATTTAATTCCCACTTTTTTGAAGACTTTCCACAAGTGCTTTTGAAAAAATGTACTCAGATCTTAACTGTGGTTTTCTATCAAATGTGTTAAGAAATTTCTGCAATTGCTCCTTTTGATCTAGAGCCCCATGCGTGATAATAGCCCACTTTGTCTGAACCGTAATCCATTCTTGCTCACGAGGAGCCTGACAGTAATCCTCTTGGCTATTTGGCTCTGCCTGCACATCTGTTCTTACTGTATAATACTTTGCTTGTGTTTTAGCCTGCTATATTTTTTAAGTTAACATTTTTGTAAAGTCTGCGGTTCATGTGAGCTGCCGGTCTTTGGACTGTGTCAGGGATCCCACGTAAGAATAGAAAGAAGACTTAAGCTTAACACAGAAACCTTCTTTGCCCTGAGGTAACAATGAAAACCAGTGAGCCACCAGGTGTTTATTTGTACTCTTCTAAGTATTCACAAGCTACACCCAAATCCCCAACACAAAACACCACCAGAGATCATGTCTTTGTTGCATTTAATGAATATACTCTGTAGATGTGGTAAATAAATGTACTGGAACATGGAAAAAGAAGAAGAAGAAGAAGAAGAAGCAAGGTGAAACCAGTGAGGAGGATGGAAACTTTGTAGTACTATTTAAGTCCATCCATCCATCCATCCATTTTCCTCCACTTATCCGGGACCGGGTCGCGGGGGCAGCAGTCTAAGCAAAGATGCCCAGACTTCCCTCTCTCCAGACACTTCCTCCAGCTCCTCCGGGGGGAGGCCGAGGTGTTCCCAGGCCAGCCAAGAGACATAGTCCCTCCAGCGTGTCCTGGGTCTTC